TTTTGTCTTCTTCATTTTAATTTATTTTCAATAGGCTTTTGATTCTAGCATTAAGCAATCATTTTTTCCTAACATGTGGAGGATCAAATACCACTTGGTTATCATCTATAGGTAGTTTTGTTACAACAACTTCAATTTAACTTTCCAAGTCTTTTTCAATGAACTCTAAAACCTTCATTAACTTTATCCTTATAATTTTAGTCCCCTTAGCAATGAATGAACTTTTATTTAAAATATTGTGGTCAAGATGGTTCAACTCACTAAAACATATAAAAGCAAATAGATTTTTCATTATCACAAGGTGAATCAACAACCCTTTTTCTTGCAGTCTTTGTCCATCTTTGCATAATATATTGAACTAGTATCTCATTCACATTATTCACAATAAGTATCTTTAGAAGTATAGCAACATTATAACCCCAAAGTCTCAAATAACATACATGTATAAGAAATACTAAAATCTAATTTATCAAATCTCACTTTTAAGACTCTTTTTTAATCTAGTTTGTCAAGTTTATATAAAAATCTTGTTCCATCCTTTTTTATCTCAACACAATTCAATCCTAAACCCTTGAAGAACTCTTATTTAAACATTTGAAGCCTTGTTATTATGTAAATATATAGATAGTAGTATGACATCCAAAAATTTCTTTATGACTAATCAAATCAACAAAAGAATCGTTTTACAACAGAAATCTTTTATCTCATCCTCCTTGATGCATCTTTTACCTTTTGTTATAATTCAAAAACTTGAATGAGAGTTAATGAGATGTTCAAATTTTGATGAAAAACGATATTTAATTCTTACTTCTTTGAGTAAATTTCATTATAGAAAAAAATAAATCTACATTTAATGTAGTACACCATTTTTCTTAAGTCACCTATAACCTATAAAGAAGCAATAAAGCTTGCAAATTAGCACAAGTAATTAAAAGAAATAAAGGATGTTGTTTATATTTATTTTTCTCTATTAACTTGTATTCTTAAATAAATAAAGCATGCATGTAAAAAAGAAATAAAATTGCAATAAAATATCTATTAAATCACCCATTGATCTCTAGGTTGAAGTTCTTGATCATATCATCCCAAGTGGATTGAAATTCCATTTCATCTAGGCTTCATCTAGGCAACCACTAAGATATTTTTGAAATTTTGAATTGAAATATTGATTTTCATAAATTCTAAGAAAATGTTTCTTGGTATTATTAGAAGGATGCCATAAACATAATTGAAGATGTAATTCAAGGAATACTTTCTTAATAGTAGTATTGTCCATTGCTTGATCTTGATCTATTGAAATACTTTTAGGTTGTCTTCCTCCCATAACTTCTAAGAATATCTTGAATAACAAACAAATGATTCAATTGTCTCATTTAAAAGAAATGCACAACCAAATAACAGGTTACTCCGATGATGATTATTTTCAACAAAAGGAGCACAAATTAAGTTATATTAATTAGTCTTATACGTAGTTACAAAAATGATGACATTTTCAAATGAATTATAATTCACCTTTGATATACCATCCGTCTAGAAAAAAATTTGTCATTCCATTTTCTTGGTTCACTTGCACTACATAAGAGAATAATGGATCTTCAACTTGTCCATGCTTAAAATGATTCACAACACTTTGACCATCTCCTTCTTTTGCCATCACTTTTCTCATAGCACACAAGTAATTTTGGTAATCTTTCTAAATAAAGCCAATGTAGCTTATCCTACCTAATTCCTTGGCCAAGAATAGGTATGATTTTGTTGGTTTAATACCTGAATTCACCATTGAATCTATTACACCACCTTGTTGTTACACATATATTTAGGTATTTTCTAGTAATATAATTATTATTTACATTATGTAATATTTTATATAGTATATATTATTATATATATTTATATACATCACTTTAAGAGATGCATGTGGGTACAGTTACTGGTTGAAAATGGGGCACTGTCAGAATAATGAAGAAAGAGAAAAAGATAAAGATAGAAAAAACGAGTGGTTGGACTTTCGGTAACTACTTTATTTCAAATTGAAACTTGAATTTGAGTTGGAGAAAACTATCTCAAACGAGCAAAATGTTTGAAACGTTATCTCATATAAATATCAGATAATAGGAGTCATAATCCTTGAAGGGTTGTATCTGTGTAAAACCACCCATGGGGGATTGTAGATAAATAAAACAACCCCAAAAACAGATCAACCCATTGTGGAAAAATACTTCGAGTTTTCTTCATCTTCTTCCTTGAATTTTTGCACTTTGCTTTCAAGTTTTAGGATACTGGTTGGGTGATTAAAGTTTATTTTAGTGGGCATTGTATCCTAGGGATAACATTTCCTACATAGAGGTGGAAACTATTATCCTTGAGAAAGGTTCTTGGAACTGCCTTACCCACAACAATTGCATCTACAACTTTCTACATACAACGATTTAAGGATAATAGTACACTTATTGGCTGCAAGTGGGTTTTGAGAAAGAAATTAAAAATAGATAGAAGCGTTGATAAATATAAAGCAAGATTAATAGCCAAAGGTTTTAGTCAAAAGGAAGGGTTGGATTATTTTGAAACATTTTCACCAGTGACTAGATTTACTTCTATTAGAATTATGTTTGCCATTTGATGAAAGCATGAAAATATATATTTAAAGTGTGCTTAACCATTGACATTTATGGAATTATGGGTTTAAGTGTTATATTTTTCTACAAATAATTTCATAATTGTTCATTCTATTCATGTTGTGCAAAATTTTGATGATTAAAGGTTTGATGACTAAATGGAGAGGATTAGAACAAAAAGGACTTAAATGCAAAGAGCTGAAAAGATGAGGATCTAAGGATAAATCAGAAGTTTAAAGGCTCAAATGAGATTTTCTCCATTCTTGATCAAGGAGCAAATTGCAAAGCTCAGAAATATGATGATCAACTTGCGCGGAATCCAGGAGTCAGAGACCAAGACTGTTATTCTGCCATTAACCAAAATTGCACAAAAGGCCAAAAACCCGACATGGAGGATGCAGTTGATGCTCCACTCAAAGTGGCGGCACCTTGTAAAGAGTGTTGACCCCTTGCGCAATTTTTCAGCCAAATCATATCTGTCCTAATTATTGTGATGTGGGCCCCATAGCCATTCTAATTAGGGTTTCTAGGATTCTATAAATACCCATCCAAGTTATTTTAGAGGGGGTTCCAAGGCTGGAGAGGCTGTTGCCAGACTTATATTTTCTTCTTCAAGGCTAGAAAATTATGTTAAAAAGTAACTAAGCTTTCAACAAGATTAGGAAGGATCTTGATTGAAGAGTTTAACTTTTTATTTTATTTTGATTCCTTCATAGATTTTATTATTTAATTTTATTGTTTGTTTGAGATGTGAAACATGCAATTAAATAATAAATAGGAATCAAAATTTATAACAGTTAAACAAATCAATTAAGTGAACCCTGAAGTCTTGTTCATCATAATATTGCTTTCAATCCTTTACAATTATCATCTTTTATTTAAATATTTTTATTCTTAATTTTATAATTCATCTTTTAATTTAATTTCTCATTGTGACAACTTTTTTTGTTGATTTAATATAGTTTCCTTGTGAATTCGACACCTAAAACTACGCTACAACAACCGCTTAGCCAAAGGGTATTAATCTTGAGGCGAGACATCACCATTGCATCCATTTATAATCTTGAGGTACATCAAAGGACATGAAGACATCATTTTTGAATGGAGAACTTAATGAGGAATCTACATTCATCAACCCGAAGGATACACAATAAAAGGTCAAAAGGATAAGGTATGTAAACTTAATAAGTCTATTTATGGACTTAAGTAAGCACCTATGCAATGGTATAAGAAATTTAAAAAGGAGATTAGGAAGTTTGGTTTTAAATGTAGTAAAGTAGAAAGTTGTGTTTATACCAAGGTTACTAGTAATTATAAAGTTCTCATTACACTTTATGTTGATAATTTATTAATTTTTGGTTCTGACATGTTTTGTATTAATGAGACTAAAATTTATTTAACCTAAGCATTTGACATAAAGGATTTAGGTTTAGGTCCAACAAATTGCATTTTAGGAGTCAAAGTTATTAAAAGGGATGGTAAATATATTTTAACTCAATCACATTATGTTGAGAAATTATTCAGGAAATTTGGTTATTTTGATTATAAGTTTAGTAAAGCTCCGATTGATCCACTTGTTAAATTAATTCCTAATCAAGGTGAACCTATTAATCAAAAGGAGTATGCTAACATTATTGGTAGTTTAATGTATGCCATGAATCATACTAGGCCTGATATGGCATGTGCTGTTGGAATTTTGAGTAAATTCACTAGTAATCCTAGTATTAAGCTCTGGAATGAGATTAGTAGAGTTATGAGATAATTGAAATATACTTTACAATTTGGCTTGCATTATAATTGCTTTACTGTTGTCTTAAAGTGTTACAGTGATGTTAATTGGGCATCTAATAAAAAAAATTCAAAATCAACAAGTGGATGGTTGTTTACCATTGGTGGTTCCATTGTTTCTTGGTTCTTTAAAAGACAAAAGAGTGTGGCTTTGTCTTCTATGGAATCTGAGTATGTTGCCACGTCATTGGCACCAAAAGAAATTTTATGGTTAAGGAGATTCTTAAAAGGTATTCCTTTTGTGGAAATACCAAGATGACCCATCACATCATTTTGTGATAATCAAGCTACAATTCACAATGCTAAAAATGAAAGGTTATCTAATAATAGCAGACACATTGCTATGAGATATAATTAGGTAAGAAGTGTTGTGAAAAAAGGGAGGGTAGAGGTAGAATATCTACCTAACGAACAAATGTTAGCTGGCCCCTTAACAAAACCTTTAAATGGAGAAAGGTTAAGTAAAATTTGGATAGGTATGAGACTCTTACCGGTAATGGAGTGATCATGTTTGAAACCAACTTCATCACTTTGATGTTGATATGAAGACATGTCTTTAATTAAAAATCAAGTTCATAGAAGTTCAATGGCAATTCACTCATGAATTACTCAAGAAATGTAAGCACAAGGTGCTACATTTTCAGTGTACTTTATTATTTAAGGAATAGTGGGGGTAATAAAATAAATAAATAACTATTCTTTTAAAGTCCTCTACCTAAACTAGTACACTGTTTATTCACAACAAAGAAGATTGAACATTAAAGTTCTTAATAGACTCATAGCTAACTTTAATGGAATGGAAGTTGTGAACATTCTTGATGAGTCTACCTATGCAAGTAGGAAGGTCAAAGGCCGCCTTCTATAGATTACACCGGTTAATCTTAGAGTACTTGCTAGAATAGGATTAGCGCAAGGCCCTTTGTTTTATAAACACGCTTACCATGGTGGAACTTTGAGCCCATGTATAATGTGAATATGGTTCCTTAATAATTCATATTCCATCCAAAGCTTTAAGCTGTGGCCACTTTTGGATATGCATTATACAATACCAGTATACATAATAATATTATTAGAAAACAAGTGGGCGATTTTTACATATATATTTAGGTATTTTCTAATAATATAACTATTATTTACATTATGTAATATTTTATAATATATTATTATATATATTTATATACATCACTTTAAGAGATGCATGGGGGTACGGTTAATGCTTGAAAAATGGGGCACTGTCAGAATAAGGAAGAAAGAGAAAAAGATAAAGATAGAAAAAGGAGTGGTGGGACTTTTGGTAACTGCTTTATCTGAAATTGAAAGTTGAATTTGAGTTAGAGAAAACCATATCAAATGAGTAAAATGTTTGAAACGTTATCTAATATAAATATCAGATAACAGGAGTCATAGTCCTTGAAGGGTTGTATTAGTGTAAAGCCACCCATTGGGGATTGTAGATAAATAAAACAACCCCAAAAACAGATCAACCCATTTTAGAAAAATACTTTGAGTTTTCTTCATCTTCTTCCTTGAATTTTTGCACTTTGCTTCAAGTTTCAGTATACTAGTTGGTTGATTAAAGTTCATTTTAGTAGCCATTGTATCCTGGGATAACGTTTCCTACAAAGAGGTGGAAACTATTATCTTTAAGAAAGGTTCCTGGAACTGTCTTGCCCACAACAATTACATCTACAACTCTCTGCATACAACACTTGTGCTTTTAATATCTTCCTTCCAAATTTTAAGTTGCACCTTTCTTCTTGATTTGCAAGTTCATTGTTATGCACATCATTAAACTGAGTTGAGTAACCTCTCAAATTCCATTTAATACAATAAATCAAATTCTGACCTTACATCCCATTTTTTCTCTAAATGATTAATATTTGTCAAATTATGAGAATCCTCATCCCTATGAAACCCTTGCTTTGAACGTATGCATTCTCCTTATCAAAGAATAGTATCAACAAATCACATGTTTCCTTTCCTTATATTGAAGCCCTTTGTTAAAGCATATTGCTTATAAAGGTGACATGCTTCCTCTTCGAATTAAACTTTTCCACCAACATTAAGCTTATCATCAAATTTAGAGGAATTTCCATTCTCAAAAGCCAAAATCAAATCTATAGAAAAAATCATTTGTAATTTTAAAAAATTATAAAATTTATTATATTATTTCCCATCTCTATTGTAATAAATTACACAAAAAAAAGATAAAAAATCCAATTCCCAAGAGAATTGCCCAAAACATATAGTAATGAAAAGCAAACCTCTGTTGGCAATGAAAATGAATCAAGAAGATGAAAAAGACCCACTTTTTGAATCACAAAAGAAGAAGAACTTCAACGGAACAGAGAAAATTGTCAACCTCTATTTTACTCCTGATTTATAAAATCAATGCAATCAAACAAAACTATTTTTGTATATTATTATATTTTTGCCTAGGATTAAAGTTTTGAGTAAAGCGAGGTTGTAATTGAATGGAATGTTAAAAGTTTGAAAAATAATAGCAAAAAGAAAGTGAAGGAGAAAAGGTGGGAAAGGCAAGAAACTAATTTTATTTTAGAAAAAGTTTTAGTGTTAAACATTATTGCTATTGAATAGTTTTTGTAAGTTTGCACCCTTAGTTAATTAGGATTTTCTCTTAGTTGCCCTCTTGTAAGGTGATTAATGGGATGTGGAGAAAAGTTGATGTGGCATGTTGTGATTGGCTCAACATATCATTGACATGATATTCAATGGATAAAACAAACTTTCTCATATTCTAAGGCCATGTTTAATTTGAGTCCCTACTCCATTTGTTCCTAAATATTTAATATTGCAAACAACACACTTATTATTTCAGGAAGAGATATATTTTGTAATATCCCAAATTTTCGGGAATATTTAAGTGTAAGTTAAGGACTTGATTGTGAGAAAAGATTGTTTTGGGGCCTAATGTGAATATTTCAAAAGTTGAGAGACTTAAAGAGGGAAAGATTTTGGATAAGGATGACTTCTTTTCTTTTTCTTTTTCTTTCTTTCTTTTCTTCCTCCTCAGACTCAATTCTGCTCTTCTTCCCGCTGCAGCCCGAGAGGAAAAAAGAAAGGGGAACCCAGCCATGCCTTTGAGAAACCGGTGGGATAAGCTTGGTTTTCTCCTTCCTTTCTTGCTCTAGAACACACCTAGAACCCAGAAATCTTCCCCCGCTGCTGGAAAAGCCGGATCTGCCCTGCTCTGCTTTGTCCTTCCGCCAGCTGCTCTTGATTGTGGGTGATTTCTGAGCATTTTTTCGGTAAGAACAGCCCCTAATTCCTTTGTTCTTGCTTGAATTGGCTTGGGTTAACTTTCATTGCTCTTATTTCCTCCAATTTTTGGGTAAACCCGTGAGCTTTCCCTGCAGCTTGCTGCCGGCCTTTTTCCCCCCTGCAGCTCCAGTTTTGCTTGCTGGATTTATGGTATGTGGTAGCTTCTCTAAATCCTAATTTAACCCTTTAATTGTTGAATTTTGTCCATGGATTGGCTGCCCTTGTGATGTCCGAAAGTTTGCAGAAATTGGGGATGAAATTGATAGTAATTAGACCATGATTTAGCTTGATTCAAGTGGAATTTATATGATTGAGTGTTAATGGACTGCTATGTGATTTTTGGAGAAAATCTCGTGAGATTAGCTAGTGTTTTGGTCAATTTGTGGAAGTGGAGTTACTGTTCACGTCAGGGTACTGTTCACGGGTACTGTTCACCGACACTGTTCACACACAGATGGCCAACAATTAACGGAAATTTAAATGATTAGTTTGTGGTATGAGAACGAATTTGGAGATGTCTGATCATGTGGAAAGTGATGGAAATAGCATTGTGATTAGAAATGATCCTAATGATGATTTCAGCTTGAATTTGTGATAATCCGGTATTAATTCTGAGGTGTTTTGATTAGGTTCCAGATCGTTCTGTCAATTAGTGCGTGAATTGAGTGCTCGGTTTTATGCTAGTGAGGTAAGTAAATTCATGGTAATGCCCGTACTGTTTTAAAAGCATGTTTTGATTTGTTTTTGAAGTGGTGGCGGGACTAAACCCGTTTTACACGAGCATGACTGATTTGAAGTGAAATGTTTTATGCTTTTCATTAAATTGAGCATGCCTACTTGAAATTTAAGTGACTGTCCTGATGATCTGAAAGTGATTGTGAATCTTGATTTTCCTGTTAACTTCTGCCTGTTTTGTCTC